AAAGAAAGAAAGAAAGAAAGAAAAATAATTCCTAGGGCTGGGCATGGTGGTGCATACCTATAACTCCAGCTGAGGCAAGAAGAGGGTTGTGAGTTCAAGCCCATCCTAGGTTGCAGAGTGAGAGACCCTGTCTCAAAAACACCAAATCATTATCATCAGTCCTACTCTTAAAGCAGTTTGCATTAAAGATTTTGGTGTGTTTGCCTATTCCCTTTTCTATGTGTATATAATCTTGTGTATATAATCAGAAACTATAAAATAAATTCGTGGTTAGATGTATATGCCTCTTTGTAGCCTTGATATTCTAAAACATTCTAGTAGGACAATGAACATTCTTCTATGTCATTTTAGTGGCTGCATAGAATTCCATTATAGCTACCCCATCGGTTATCATATCAACCTCCTGCTATAAAGATTTTTGCTGTTTCCAATTAGAAATAGTGTTGTCTCTGATTATTAGGATATCTTATTAAAGTGAAATTGCTGGGTCAATAGGGCAAGAAATTACCATTTCAACCATCTTTAAGTGTACAGCACAACAGTGCTATGCAAGAGATCTATAGAACTTTATTATCTTGCAAAATAAGTGCTACACCTACTGAACAATACTCGCACCTCATGCCTCTGGTAACCACCATTCTACTTTATTTCTTAAAAGTTAGGATATGTCACATAACTAGAATCATGCAATGATTATTTTTCTGTGTGGTCATGCTCATTTTTAAGACTTTCAGAATCTAGTGCTCAGCTAGCTGACAGGAAGGATGTGTCAACTGAGACTTCAAGTGTATGTGTGTTCATCCAGACCACCCACTCACTGCCGGCGGTTTCAATCCCTGCCGCTTTTTTTTTTTTTTTTTTTTTTCTGCAGAGCTATATTCCGGAGGAGCTCGGTCCTTCTTGGCAGCTGCCTTCCTCGTGGCGGCCAGCACGTTGCTCGGCTCCTCACGCTTCGTCTTGGCGCGCACGCGCGTCCCCACCCTTTCACCCTTTTCTTGATGAACTTGAGGGCGCGCTTGTCCTCGGAGACCTTGAGCAGCTCCATGGCGCACCGCTCGCTCGCAGGAGGCGAAGCCGCACACCTCCCGAATCGTGTCCCGCACGGACTTGGTGTGTTTGGCGAGGCGTCCGCGGCGGCGGCTGTGCCTCGGTTTGCTCACATTCTTAGTCACCTTGTGGCCCCTGTTGAGGCCCACGGCCGTGGGATAGCGGAGGGCCCTGGCTGCTCTTTTTCAATGGTTGCTGTGGCGGAAGGACCCGAGCCGCGCGGAACCGTGGGCAATCTGCTCAGCGCCGCCCTGCCGCTTTGATAGAGGAACAAAGTCTGTGGGCCTGATCATTTGGGTGCGCCATTGTCCTGTGAATCTTGGCTAAAATACTTGCTGTGGTCTTAGGAGCTGTGAGACCTTGGACAAGTCCATTAACTTTTCAGTGCCTGTGTTCCTTTGTCAAATGGAGGTAAGACTAACTCTTTCCTGTTCAGGTATATATTTTGCACATTTTTATGTGGAATAATTGAGTTAATAAAGCATCATGAATAGCAAGTGCCTTGACTATAGGAAGCCCAAAAGAGAAATAACTATTATTATTTTGTGAATCTTTTTTTTTTTTTTTTTTTTTTTTTTTTTGCGGAACCGGGGATTGAACTCGACACTTGGGCTTGCCAGGCAAGCGCTTATTCTACTGAGCCATCTCCCCGGCCTATTTTGTGAATCTTGAGTAACCTAAGAAATGGAAAATGGCAGCCAACGATTTCCATTTACATTTCCTCGATGGTCCTGGGTTCAGTTTCTGCGCTTACACTGGCTGAACTGTGAAGATCTTTCTTCCCTTCAAAGTGCCGTGGAGAACACCGTCTCCGGGGTCCCGCCGAAGGAGCTTCTGTAAGTCGCAATCACCAGTCGTCAGTTTTCAAAATAAGAAACTGAGGCTCAGAATTCTCAGGCCGTGCAATTCCACGCCTAGCATTCCGACGACAGACTTCAAAATTCAGCAGCTGTCCCAACACAACTGCAGGCTGA